AATAAAGAGGTGCAATATCTTATGATTCTTCTGGGAATTTGAATTCTCAGCAGAAACAAGAATATTTCATTCTGCTGATTCTCAGATAAAAGCTGAGCTCCTGGGGTTCACCAAAGAATTTTCATCAAAGCCAGTGAATCTTCCTAAGTCTGGGATTTCTTCCTACACAGACTGCCAGAGGAAGTAGGACTCTATGCTCACTTTGAAGGTATGTTTCTCTTCTCCGAATGGTTTATTCTAGGTCTAGTTGTTTTCCTCTGGGACAATCCGATGCTAACATCTTATGCTGAAGAGATTCATTTGTGCTGGGAAGTGGGTTTCTCTGGGAAGTGAGTATCCTGGTATAGAACAGGATTGCAGCAGAAATCACCATAGCTGTACCAAGAGACTGACATGCCTAGATGATCTTCCACCGACTCAAAGTGTGCGTTGTGTGGCAGGGAAAGGAAACAGACACCCGTTGCCCCACCATGAACCTCTGCTCCTGTGCTGTGGGCTGGAAGTCCCTGGATCCCTCACCCTCTCTCTCCGTCACCCCTCAGGGTGATCTTGTGTTGGTGGTCGGAGATAACACCATTTTCTCAATAAGAAGGAAGCTCAAGAATCAGAGCATATCCAGTCATTGCCTGTGAATGAGGCTGTGAAGTAACCAAATCAATGAAAAAAATTTATATATTACCTACTCTAAATGAAAACACTGTTGGCCAGCAAAACCTCTCTTAAAAACACCAGTTCTAACAGTTGCAGTAAATCTTTTCCTTACTGACACACTGTATGAGGTAAATTTGCCATGTAATTACTTCTTTTTGGATCCATCCTGGGTTATCACCTTATAGTGCTATTAGACTTAAAATTACTCTATATCATGTCCATATTTTTACCATTAAATAGGGTAGATTTAATTAACATACTAAATTGGAGAAAGAGAAGGAAATTCTCTGGGTGAAGAAATATTCTGGGTAGTGTCTAGGTAGAAAAATTGCTCAGACTGATCATGAAAATGTTTTGTTTTCTGAGTTGCCATTGTTTTATTTACTTTATTCAATGTGAAAATGGTATCATCACGGTGACTTTTTCTTCTGAAGGATTTTGGCCTATCTGCATTTTTATGTTGCCTCTTTTTAATTGCAAAATGGAGATGATGAAGAAGATTTTTAAAAATTTTTAATGCAGAAAAATACACACAAATAGCTAAATTTGAAAGTCAAGAGACAAACATTCCTATTGAGTATCCATACATTGAATTACCTTCCACAATAGTGATTCTTTACTCTCAGAAATTAAATGGGTTACAGACATAGTTTACCGTGCCCACTATACTTGGGTAAATTTTTGCCATCTGATGTCACTATCCTGCACTTGTCATACTACAGGAATATTCTTTAGCTGCAGCAAAAATATTTCCCTGCACTTTTATGTAGAACCCTCCTCAAATGTGATATATTTAAAGAAATTTTAAAGTTTCTGATTTAGTCTCTCTGCTTCATTGAGCCATTGTTCTCACATTGCCCATGTAAATGATTTCTCTCTTAGGCTTGGAATTTGAAAAGTTTATAATATTGACACATGTAACTTACACCTATTTCTTAGGTAATTTTACCTCCATATGAGGTAGATTTTCTAAAAGCTATTTCTCTGAAGCTGTCTTTTTATAAGATTCAATTCCAAGAAGGGATAAGATGCTGTTTTAGTGTTCTATGGCTGGTGTAAAAATTACCATGAATGTGGTGGCTTAAAATGATAGAAATTTGTTTTCCCACAGTTTCTGGTATTGCTAGAACTCTTAAATTGAGTTGGGTCATGTTCTTTCTGGAGACTATTGGGAAGATCACATTCCCCATTTCTCCCACCTTCTGGTGAGTGTCAGCATTCTTAGGGTTTTGGCCACGTCTCTCCGACCTTCATCTAAACATCTAAACCTTCATCTAAACTACTTCTAGTGGTTTCTGCAGCTTGTTTCAAATATTCTGCTTTTATCTCATAAGGACACTGTTATTAGAACTAGAGCCCACCCAAATGATTGAGACTCTTCTCAAGATCCTTGAATTAAGCACATCTGCAAAGTCTTTCTATTCAATAAGACAACAATCACGGGTGCTAAGAACTAGGATGTGGACATATCTTATTGGAGGTCATCATTCAACTCACTACAAATATTGATGTATTTAAGTGTGCACATTTTGTCTACAGATGTAATATAATCCAAATCGTTATGCTTATTTAACCTTATTCTTTATAAAAAGTATTATTTTAACATTTTAAAATTTCAAATGATCAAATTGTAACAGAGTTGTGTAAGTAGAAACAATATCTTGGTCAATACTTAGAAATAGGTTATGTATGTACTGTATATGCAGATTACATACTCATTGTAATGGTATATATTAATAAATAAATCTTCAACTGAGTAAATTATCATCCACCTAGTTAATGGACATTTTGGTATCTGTTTTATTAGCAACCACACTAGTTATAACAGACATAAAGAAGTGCAAGACATATCTCCACTCAAATCAATGCCAAATCTTTGATTTTATCCTAAAGATTGTCTATATCCTCATAGTTAGGGTATAACCCTTTTAACTGTTATTGACTAAGCCTCTCTATATAAAATATGCCTCAAGAGAGTACACTTTGAATTCTCCTCCAATTTGCTAGAAAAAAATCTTTATCTACCCAGTGGACTTTTAATGGGGCCTGGTCATGATTTCTCTGCAACTTTTCACTTCATAGAGCTTGGTGGCAAACTTGGGCCTCCAATGCAAAGGTCCGTAACTCCACCACCAACCTGCATCCAGCTTTTACTATGAGGATAAAGGAATGCATTTTCCAGCTTAGTCCAAGGCTGCCTGAAAATGTGCATTTACCTATACCTCATATACACCAAAGGAATATTCAAAATCCTTAGTATCTTTAAGTTATTGAATATATCTTAATTTACCTGCATTAGAAATGAAATCAATAATATGTATCAGTTAAAACTGGATCCATCATTCTAAGAAATTTAACTATCTGTGAATATATTTTCTACTCTTAGAGACCTTACTGAGGGCTGGGGATATATTTCAGCAGCACAAGTACCTGCCTACTAAGTGCAAGGTCCTGAGTTTGATTCCCAGTACCAAAAACTAAAAAGAAACCTTACTGAAATCCATGTGTGATAAAATGAAATTATATGTATGCAATATTTTAACTACTATGATATTAATTATTTTAAAATATTGTTTAGCCTGCAATTCCCATATGGGTAAGGACTTACCCTTCTGTTTAATGTGCAGTAAAGAGTCAAATCATTCCTGGTGTCATCCATCCATGGAACAGAAGTTCCTCTCAAGTCAGAAATTGGAATTGAGAAGAAAACACTAGATTAGATCCAACACAGAAATCCGTACCTCTTACTTTTAAAAAGGTAAGTGGGAAAATATTGAGGAACAGAATCTAAGAGTGCTGTTGGAATGGTTGTTTCAACAGATCTGTATGGAATTGGGGGAGGAAGAAACAGAAAGAAGTTACCTAAAATTGTGTCAACTCCTTTGATGCGGTGGTAGGTTGCTCAGGGTTACATGTAAAATAGGAGAGAATTTCATCCTGGTAACCAAGTAACTAACTGCACACTTTGAAGCCAGGTGTATTTGGGCTTTGTGAACTATTAATGTCTATTTAATCTTTCTTTCCTAATTTTTAATATCATGTTGTGGTAGAAATAAACCAGTAGAACTTGATTTTAGCCTTTCACTGTGGCGGAAGGGGTCAATGCCCCCTTAGCAGCCAGCATGAAAGGAATAGCCTTGGATGTGGGGAGATAGCAAAGGGAAAATGAATTTGGGGTTAGACTTAGGACAGCTGGGTTAGGCCCATTTCCCACGGCTGGAACCTTAACATGTCTGCATTATCTGCTTGTTTTATTCTACACTAGATTAGCTAAAGATGGCCGCCTTTGCACAGATACATAGATAAACTGACTCCATTGAGCATTACCAAGTCTCAGAATTTACTGTAAGATTTCACAAATACATAAAAAATAACCTCAAAGCATATAGAACACACTAATTGTTGAAGTATTAAATTGTACAAAATCTAATAATGAGATAATATGTAAAGTAAATTTTGTATTTAAGAGATTTGTCTGAAATTCTATATTGCTTTTATGTCTTCATTCTTTTATCTTTAAAATAAAAAAGATTATAATGTTTCAATGTTTGTAACAAATAAATATTTTGGCATATAAAACAGTTCTTGATGTGTTTCTCAACAATAGATATTCTAAAACTGTTTGGTATAATTTTAAATTTGTGATAAGTATATGAAAAGCATGGATAGTAAGAAAATATAACTTTATGCAATTATTAACAATGATCACCTGAATCATTCAAAATATTAATCTAAGTCTTGAGATTATCTTTCTTTATAGCTGAGTAATATTCCATTATGTAAAAACACTACAACTTTTTTATCCATTCCTCAGTGGATGGGAATTTGGGTTGCTTCCATGACTTAGCTATTACAAATTGCGCTGCTATAAACATGGGTGCACACATTTTATGTTATTCTCTAAATGTATGTGTGTTTGTTAAGATGTTTTCATTCTTTTATCTTTAAAATAAAAAAGTCTAAAATATGAAATATAAATCTAAAATGTTCAAGAGTTTAAAGTTTTCTTAATAAGATTAAAAGGTAATAATATGGACCTGATGACTAATAAAATGCTATGATTACAAATATGTATTTTCACTATTAATAAAATAGGAAATACCATCAAGAACATATTCTTAAGTGCTAAGGTTATTTCAATAGCAAATGTGACTCTATAAAGAAATCAAACCATTTTTAAAAGTAATTTAGAGAATGTATTATCCTCTGCAAGTTTTGTGTACTGTTCCAAATTATATGCTTATCCTTTCAAATGCATTACATCTTCATAATATAAATCCCAATGAAATTTAAATTATCATATTAAAAATAGAAATTATTAAAAGACCAATAAATTCCAGATATTGGTTTATCAATATTCTTTATTAAAAATAACTAGACCTTCTTGAAAAAATTGCTATTTTGTGACTGGAGCATAGACTGCCACAGGTGAACCTGCAATTTCTAGTCACATAAGAAGTGAAAAAGTCCCCAAAACAATGGGAACAAGGTAAAGGGGCAGAGGAACTAATTTGAGAGGCAAATTAGTAGGCAAAAAGTAGAGAGTTGAGGCACTACAAAAAGATGGAAAATCCCTGAGTCCAAAAATGATCAGTGGATAAATAGACAGACACACAGTCACACATACATTCTTATCTAAAATTATCAATTAATAAGTATAAAATCAATGAGAGATAAGATTACACATTTTCAATCATTCTTATAATAACTGAATCAGGGAAAAGAAGCAATAGATGTTGAGACTACAGAATTAAAGAAACTAGTGACTAGTTCCTTTATGAGGAACAAAATATTTATATAATAATTTTAATAGACTCTCCATAAATTTATTAGGGAAAATAATAATTACAGAGATATCTGGGAAGCAACACTTTCACCAGGTGGTACAAGTTAGCTTTCCCAATAATGGGACAGATTAACATGGTTCACCCACTCATAATACATTGAGGACAATTTTTTTTCTGCAGAGAGTGAATAATTCAAATCAACATAAGAGGGACTTTCTGCCAAATTCTACCTTTAAAAATATCACTGCCTGGAAATGCACAAAAAGCTGAATAAATAATCTAGGTGCAATGAGACTAAGGAGAGATAATATTATAATATGTAGTCTTGGATTAGACCCTGGATAAATAATGGTGGAAGAACACTAGATATGAGAGAAAAGAAACATGTCAATCATAAGTTTCCCGATTTTTTATAATTATGTTGTGAATGAATTAGGGAATGCCCTTTTTCTTGTTGAAAAAATTGAGAAATTTAGGACAAAATAGGCACCATCTCCACACTTGAATTTCAAATGCCTAAATCCACTAGGTCCGTAGAGAGAACTAGTTATAAGACAAAATGAAACACCAACATTTGCTGAATCTGGACTAAGGTGTAGGGGAGTCTGCCTAATTTTTGACATTTCTCTATATGTTTAAATACATTTCATAGTAAAATGTTCAAAGAACTATACAAAAACAGTGAGGAGGATGTCAAATAAGATTAAGCACACAACCTTTCTCTGAGCTCACTGTGAGATAAATAAATCCAATTTTCATTGATTTCCCCAGCTCTGACGTTTTTATCATGCTTCCCTGCTGGACAGAACATCATTAACACATGGGAGGCAACCAGTCCTGGGTCACCGAGTTCATCTTGGTGGGATTCCGGCTCAACACAGAGATGGAGGTGCTCCTCTTCTGGATCTTCTCCCTGTTGTACATCTTCAGCCTCCTGGCAAATGGCATAATCTTGGGACTCATCTACCTAGACCCCAGACTGCACACTCCCATGTACTACTTCCTCTCACACCTGGCTGTCCTGGACATATCCTATGCATCCAACAATGTCCCCAAGATGCTGGTAAACCTCATGCGTCACAAGAGAACTACTTCCTACGGCGCATGCGTAGTGCAGACTTTCTTGTATTTGGGCTTTGCTGCCACAGAGTGTCTGATTTTGGGGGCAATGTCTTACGACCGATACGTGGCCATTTGCCACCCACTCCATTACACTGTCCTCATGAGCTGGAGGGTGTGCGTGGCCCTTGCTGTCACTTCCTGGTCACTTGGATTTACCCTCTCTATGGTACATGCAATTCTCCTGCTGAGGCTGCCCTTCTGTGGGCCCCAGGAAGTGAACCACCTCTTCTGTGAAATCCTGTCTGTCCTCAAGCTGGCCTGTGCTGACACTTGGCTCAATCAGGTGGTCATCCTGGCCGCCTGTGTTTTTGTCTTAGTCTGGCCCATCTCCTTAATTCTTGTTTCCTACATGAACATCCTCTGGGCCATCCTGAAGATCCAGTCAAAGGAGGGCCGAGGAAAGGCTTTCTCCACCTGCTCCTCCCACCTCTGTGTGGTCGGGCTCTTCTTTGGTATAGCCATGCTGGTTTATATGGTTCCAGACTCTAATCAGCGAGAAGAGCAGGAGAAGACTCTGTCTTTATTTCACAGTCTCTTTAACCCAGCGCTAAATCCCGTCATCTACAGCCTGCGGAACACTCAGGTACAGGGTGCCTTCCGCAGGGCTTTGCAGAAGAGAACCACAGGAGGGACGGCTGGATAGACTGTTAGCTCAGTGGCACCTTCCTCTTAAAACATGTGGATGGCAGAAGCAAAAAATTAGAAAACTTGCCCAGTTAGAAGTTTGCTATGTAAATGGTAATTACTCAATTGGAATTTGAACTTTTCCCCTTGATTTTGTTACTTTTTGTGTTCAATTTCACTTATGTCCATTCTAATCTGCATTACTTTTTTTCCTCTGCTTTCTTTAGGTTTAGTATGATGGAGAAGGTCTGAAAATAGAGCAAAATGACAATGAAAACAATTACTATACTTTACCCTGCTTTATAATTTGTATTTATAAAGTTTGTGGTTATGAACTGCACTACATTTATACTATAGTAAATAATAACTTATATTTACATTATAAATTACCCCTGCCTGTTGAAAACTGTCAATGGAGTATAAATCCAGTTTTTTATTTCAATTTCAATGTTGCAAATCACTCTTATTTGGAGAGAGAAAGTAGAATGCTATTTTCTCCTGTTATTTGCATCAGTTTCTTTGCATTTCATTCCAAATAACTTATTTTCAAAGAAATTAAACCTAAAGCAAGCAGAAATGAAACAATATACATCAGAATACGTATACATGAAATTGAAAATAGAAAAACCAATAAAATCCATAAAAATAAAAGTTGTTTTAAAAGATCAACAAAATTGACAAACTTTGGTTAAACTAGCCGACATATACAAAGAAAAGGACTCAAATTACTAAAATCAGAGACACAAAGGAATACCTGATCAACTATTATGAAAAGGATCATCAGAGAATAACGTGGGTGACTGTCCACCAAAATTAGAAACTGAGATAAAAGGACAAATTCCTAGAGAAACCATCTACAAACCCACTCAAAAAATAATCTTAATAAAATTATAGTAAGTAAAGAGGCCAAGTTAGTAATTTTAAGGCACACCAAGTAAAGCCATTGACTATATTGCTAGAGTAGTCAAGTATGCATAATTTTAAAAAGAATTACTACTACTTTTTCATAAAAATCTTTCAAAATATAGGAAACGAACAAGTGTTTTGAAACCAAGTCTTCCAGGTCAACAGCATTGATATGAAGACATTACAGGAAATGAAATACACCAATATCCTTATGTATATAGATGTATCAATCCTCAGTGTTAGAAAACAAATCAATCCAGCAAACATGAAAAAGATGAAACACTATGACCAAGTGAAATTGAGTCTAGTGATGCAGAATTGTTTCATCATCAAAACTCTGCAGTACACCATTTTAATTAAACAAAGGAAAGAAATTAAGATCATTCAGCTCACATAATTAAAGCATTTTGACAATTCTAGCACCTTTCCATGTCGTTCAATAAAATGGAAACAAAGCAACTTCTTCATCTCATAAAGGACAGATGAGAAAACCATAGTAAAATTATAATTAATTATTCCACACTGGACGCTTTCCCCATAAGACAAAAGGATTAAAATCTAAGATGTTCACATTTGTTGTCTCTATTGAGCATTGCCCTGGAATGTAAAGTAAGGGCAATTGAGTAGAAAAAAGAAAGAAATAAACAGCATCCAGCTTTAAAAGAAATGAGTAAAACTATATACTCAGGTGACGTGATCCTATGTAAGGGAAATCTTGGAGAACCTGCTGAAAATCATTTAGACCTAATTGAGAAGGTTGCAAGAAAAAAGTTCTACACAGTAAACTCAGTTGTGTTTCTATCAAGGCACATGGGTGCTCCTCACAGTGTTATTTATGAGATTATGATATTGGGGATCACTTAATTTCCTGTAACAGATCATTGATTAACTAAATTATGATGTGTTTAACAAATAGCCACAAGACTATTGAGAAAGACTTAATAAAAATATATGTTTATAACACATTGTTCATTTAAAAACCCTATTAGCAAGCTCCTGTAGGACATGTTCCATTTTTTTAACATATGTATACAAAACTTGACTGTGTACTAAAATATTAATAGTTATTTCATTCACAATAAGGATAATTTTAAGTTTTTTGCATCCACTTTGTTTTATCAATATCCAAGATGTAACATGTAATGAAAATAGTGACCAAAATCATCTACAATATCAGGTCTTCAATTGCAACTCATTTAAGAATCCTCCTCAAGTTAACAAATTAAAAGTTCAGTTCCTGAACAAGTAAATATAGTGTTTAATATTTAATACTGTACTTTAAATTGAATGTATTCTTAAAGGTGTTCCCAAAAGCTAATAAATGTTTTAAAATAATAGGTTCACCTAGCTATATGATTCTCCCTTTAACAGGGAAATGGAAGAAAATCAGACAGTAGTCACAGAATTCATCCTACTGGGATTGTAAACTGACACACAGTTTTAAGACACTGGATTGTCAACAACACCCTATAGAAGTGCAATGTTTATCTCCACATAAACGTTGCAATTGTAGTGTAAGCCAGCTCTAATAGGTAGAATTCACAGATTCATTCCAATCCACAATTGTTAAGAGAATAGGGCCTGGCTGTCTGCTTTTGCATAACTCTATCCTTTCCCCAGGGATTCCTAGACACTATCAAGGAAATAAACTCACCAGTGAAATTTGCTCAATCCTTGTGCTTCATTTATTCTTCCAGACAGTTGAACAAGCTGCAGGTCTGAATCACTAACACAAATGCCCACACATCTTCAGATCTGTGCCCAAGAATGAAGTTTTTGAGTTTTTGAGTTTTTATCGAAAACGATTTAAGACTAAGACTTTGGAAATTATTCATTCATCTACCAACCCCAGAGTAGATAAAGTAGACTACAGGAAAAAATATATGGTTGCAGGAATTAATTTTATTTCACTGTCAAATGATTATCAAACATGAATTTTTCCATCTGCCAAGTGCCTCCTGAATATTTGGGACCAGAACAACATAAAAATTCATAAAACTCTAAAAATTTGCATATTTGGGTAGTCTTAACAGTGATTCAGTCCCATGGTATGGTTTTTTATGTGCATATTCTTTTAGTTATGAATATATTGGCTGTTTTTTGCCTTAACATCTGAAGTCTCACTATCTCTACAACTTCCTCAGAGACAGAAATGGACTCATTTCTCTGCAGGCTGGATGAGTTAAAAGCGATGGGGTTCTTCATTTCTCTATAGGAGAAATGTACTTGTACCAGTATGCTGGTATAAATGAGACCTAGTTTCTCATGCACTGTGCAAAGCTGTCTTGACAATTAGGATGGTGTTTCATGGAAATGATGAATTAATAAAACTTTTCCTTCCAAACAGCAGCTTAAAGAGCCAAGATCCTTCCTTGGTACTTCTCAGGAGAGCAGCAAGATATCTGGGACTCTTAGTAGATTCAAGCACATTGCAGAAACGTTTTCCTACTCTTTGTGAAGATTTATTGAAGTTCTTCATACAACAGCCATCTCTAGCCACCCAGATTTCCTAATTGTCTTTATGAGTGCTGCTCAAATATAATTTAATATCATTTTCTTTGTCCTCTTTTACTGTCACACTTGAATATTATGTGGAAATACATATGTACTCTCTCAAAGTTCAAAGTGTTACATATTGAAGCACATTAAACAAGTGTATAAATGCTTCTTTACTTATTATACACCATCTTATGATACCACACATAGTCTGAGCAATGAGAATAATTCAGAGTTTTATTTATGGATAGTTCCACTCTAAGAATGTTAGGTTAAATAATAGGAAGTCAGTAAATATTTGTATATTGTTTTACTTTCACCAGTCTGAGCAAGCCATTTATCTTTGGAATAGTGCCAAGAGAGGACCAAGTTAAATGGGATATATATAAATGAACTTTTACTTACAGTCTTCAATTTACAATTTTATGACAGTTTAAAATGAATATCATTGCTCGTTCTTGCTAGCTCCCAGACAAACTCACTTTACATAAAACGAAAATAAAATTTCATTTTATTTATTGTGAAGTAGAATACCATGTTTGCATTTACATTTTTACTGAGCAGTGAGTTTAAAAGGTGATTTAGTGATTGCCTTCTCCTCTGGGACCCAGGTGAACAGCGCAGCAGAAGGAGGACCCCGCCATTGCCATCTCCACCGCAGGAACCCAGGTGAGCCACATGAGAAGCCTCAGAGAACAGCTGCTCCCCTCACTGCTATCAGGACCTAGGTGAACTGCTCGGGAAGGCCCACACCAGCGACACAATAGGGTCCAAACTAGGGTACACAGGATGGACAGGCAGGACTAGTGGCATGCAAAGTCTGAAGCAACAATAACAACATGAGCTAACAGGTGGTAAGATAGGTGAATCAGCATTGTGCTTGCAGACAAAGACACAGAACAGAAGCAAGTGGGTGGGCCCACACTGTTCCATTTTTGGGTTTTTGTTGTTGTTTTTTGTTTGTTCTGTTTATTTTGTTTTGTTTTTCTTTCTTTTCCCTTCTCTCTCTCTCTCTCTCTCTCTCTCTCTCTCTCTCTCTCTCTCTCTCTCTTTTTTTTTTTTGCTCTGTTTTCTAAATGACTGGAGAGAACTAGAAACACAGAAAACTAATCCCATCCCCCAAACTCAGAGACCAAGTTCAGCTAATCTCTTGCTTACTCCCTCTATCTCTCTCTTTTCTGCACTCTCCTCCAATCTCCCAAAGTGTGTGTGGCCATCCTCTGTCCTCCAGTTTTGCATCTACTTTCTTTTCAATTATCTTGATTTTATCCACCATACTGCATAAATCTCCCCACCACATGGTTAAACCACTCTACTATGAGGAAACATTTTGAATACAAATTTCCAATTTACAATCAGTTCTTTTATACAGTTGTAGATTCTGCTTCTATACTTCAACGCACAAAATTAATAGTTACCACAGTTTGTCAGTTTCTAAACTGTGTTTTATGCTATTGTTACTGCTAATTATATACTTTAGCTAGGATGTCATGTCTATTGTAATTAGTTGTTCTCCCTTCTATAACAATACTTGGAAGCTCTGGGGTGATAATCTCACCACCAGCACCAAAGAACTGGGGACTGAGCCAACAGATACCAGAATCTTACTCTTAACTGACTGGGAAGATAGAATCTTAGAACAGACATAAGCCAAGACTTTCTTACACACAAAAGACATTTCTGAAGAGCAGACTTTTCCTCCAGAGCAGTTAATACTGGTGATGTAGCTACCTATTACAAAAAGTTATAAGGATCAACACAGAAAACAAACAAAAAAAAAATTTGAAATAGAAAATGACAAAACACAGAAGCAAGATGCAATCTCAGACTTGCAGAAAATACA